GAGAGAGAGAGAGACTATGCGCCGGGCTCTTACCTCGAGTCCGTCGAGCACTGAGGCGCCGTCTGGCGGCTGCAGCCGAGCGCTGGTGCCGGGCAGCAGGGTGCCGAAGATGGAGCCGAAGTCGCGGTTCACCTGCTCCCACGCCTGCTTCAGCGCCTCGTTCTTCTTCTCGTCCAGCTCGCGGATCACCGTTTCGATCTTGGTCTTGTCGTTTTCCACGATCCGCTTCTTGCGCATCAGGTCGGTGAACTGCAGCGGGTTTGGGGTTAGTGGCCGCCAGCGGCGCCGTTGGGAATGGAGATTGCGTTCGCAACTTCAGCTCCGTGGCTGCGTGACTGAAGAAAACGTATAATTACTTTGCCAAATCGGACGCACACCTTACACTCTTCACCCAACCTGACGAACTAAAGAGGCACACGCAGGTCGGCCGTTGGGTCGGCGGCACTCCCATGTTCTAACCAACCAGTTTAATCATGGCTAAAACCGATTAAAGCCAGCTGCCGAACGGACTCTGCCAACCCTGCCCTCGCTCCCGCCCGCCCACCACCATCCTCACCTGTTCCTCAGCTTTCCCAAGCATCTTCATGGCGCGCATGTTCACGTTCTTGCCCAGCTTGGATCTAGCCTCTTCCAGCTTGACGATGCGCTTGCTGGCCTCCACAGGGTCGGTGGCCTTGAAGTCGTAGGCGGTGTTGGGTTGGCCGAAGAACTGCTGGTCGGTGGCGATCCACTCGTGGTCCGAGAGCATGCGCTTCACCTGAGAGACGGAGGCGACTCACGTCAGAGCGGTGACTCGCGGCCCACTGAGTACGGCTGGACGGTCGCGCCGACAGACCGGCGCTCGCTGAGTCAGCCAGGCCGACTCTGCGGAGGTGGACGGTCGCGCCGACAGGCCGGCGCTCACTGAGTCAGCCAGGTCGACTCGGCAGAGGTGGACGGTCGCGCCGACATACCGGCGTTCCCCGAATCAGCCAGGCCCACTCGGCAGAGGTGGACGGTCGCGCCGACAGACCGGCGCTTACTGAGTCAGCCAGGCCGACTCTGCGGAGGTGGCCGGTCGCGCCGACAGGCCGGCGCTCACTGAGTCAGTCAGGACCGCTCGGCAGAGGTGGACGGTCGCGCCGACAGGCCGGCGCTTACTGAGTCAGCCAGGCCGACTATGCGGAGGTGGCCGGTCGCGCCGACAGACCGGCGCTCACTGAGTCAGCCAGGCCCACTCGGCAGAGGTGGACGGTCGCGCCGACAGGCAGAGGTGGACAGTCGCGCTGACAGGCCGACTCGCCAGAGGTAGACGGTTGTGTGATTTTCATAATTGGGGTGTTGAGGCGCACCAACATCTACGGTCACTTCGCACCAATAGCGAAAAGTTAGCTATCTAACAGAGGTTGCCTATAACTAAAAGAACAAGAGTGCTCAGGAAGCAAATAGCTGGTCTGTGCCAAGAGAGATGAGGCGCCAAAGCGAGAATACTGGGGTCTCTGCACAAAGTATGTGCCATTAAGTTGCATAGGCATGGTGAACACGCAGCCTACCAAGTGTGATTTCTAATTTTCGTCGCGACTGGCGGGAGCATGGCTACGAGTGCTTCACCTGAGCTTTTATGACATGAATCTTGTTTGCCACCGTGGCCCAACCACCTCACCCTCATTATACATATGGGTTCTTACGGCTGGGTAAAAGTCCCGCACAGGAAGTAGAAACGCACATGTGCGCGGCACCAACGTCGGTCGCCTCGCTGCTGCACCAGCCGGTTCGTTCCCTCAATACCAATACAAGTAGAAGCCAACAAAGGGTAATTTTCTTGGCTGTCCGGTAAAGTGCTGACAAGCACATGCAAATACCCTGTTCAAGGAAGCATTGTGGTTCAACGATTTTAACGCCTAAATTGCGCCCTGGGTCGAATGATATAAGGCGTAAATTATCAAGTCCCATCTCGATAAAACATAACGCTTTGGTGATGGCTATCAATTCAGAAATGAAAAATGGCGCAACTGCAAGCAGTGTGAATGACCGAACGGAGAAGCAGCTCACAAATGTACCACTCCCCCACTCATTCATTCGTCCTGGATCCGTCAGTATGCGTGGACATGTGTCCCTATGCCATCCCACACGCTCCAGAGTTCGACGCCGAACTAATCCCGGGCATCCGCTACCTTTCTTCATTCGAGACAACGAAATGTAAGTGTTTGGCGACATCAGGTGCCGAGGCGAAACTGGTCGATGTTGCAATTGCATCATATCACACCGACGAATGCCACTGCCTTGAAAAAACCACATGCCCACACAGAATGGTACAGGGTGCTGTTTCTTTCTTCCGCTAAGCAGCGCCGCTGTTCAGCGAGGAGGCGTCGCTCCATAAATCGCATGGGAGGGAAACTGGCGCAGTTTCAACGCGAAGCATGCCAAGCATCTAGCGCCGTCCAGACGTCAGCGGTTCGTGTGCTTCAGCAAAACGACTTCAGTCGGTGACGTCCCAAACGCTCTGGTAATGGTACGAAGGGGTGTGCTGTGTATTGTGACAGAGACACGCTTGCTGGACTCTGCTGCACTATCGCGTGTAAATTATGCGTGGTCCAACTTGGAACAGTAGATGGGCGGTATCAGAACACGACGGGTCCCGTCAGCTCTGCACACTGTGCGTGCTACACATTTCAAAATATCCAAGGACCAAGGACCAAAACATCTCTCACGTCAAACCTCAAAACGCGCTTTATACGTCAGTCCACGATCCAACTACTCCTCCGAGAAATCCCGCGACACACTCTGATGGGCTGCGGTGTCCGTGGAGATGGATGGTTCATTCGGAACATCAGCGACGGCGGCAAAAGTGCGTGGCTTTGGTCTTGGAAGATGAAACGGAATCCGTTCTCGTTCCATCTTTCCAAGGATGTCATAGTCAGCTGGATACGACTCTTCATCGTGGGGACTGTTTACTAATGCGCTGTACTAGATGGTGGAGTCTTCCTCAAAAAAGGAGCTCGACCGACTGATTGTGAAAGCGAATTGCATGCGTCGTTAATAGCAACGGCAAAAAGTGTCACGCTCCAGACGCCGCCCTGAGGCACCCCGATTATCAAAGAAAGTTTGTGGGTCGACTTAATGCCACGGCGGACACGAAAAAGGCGATAAATTAAAAAGTTCTGCACAAAAGTGCCCACCGGGCCCGGATGATAAGGTCAAGGAGCTTCAGAATAATACCACGGTGCCAACAAAAGTCAAAGGCACCCCTACATCAAAGAACAGCGCGCCAACATATCGTCTTTGCTTAAACCGGACACGTTTAGCAGCACCAAGGGGTAAGATATGGTCTGCGGTACTTTGAGGCTTCCTAAAAACACTGAGCATTCGCAACGACACCATGCACTTCTAAAACCCAGGTGGATCGTTCATTTACCATACTTTCCACCAGTTTACATAATGATTATGTAAAGAGATCAGCAAATAGTGAAGTGGTTCTTCGCCACTTTTCCAAAGCTTTATCACGCGCCCGGGTGGCCGGTTGAATGCCTTTCGTTCTGGTGGGAAAGAGAGGGAGTCAATTTGACCCACCTGAGACCTAAAAAAAAACTGAGAGATAGACATCAAATGCGCAGGGTGGGTTGGTCTGTATATGAACTCACTTGTGTCGAACTTTGTGGTTCCCTGGTCATAACCTTTGGATCAAATAAGGTCAAACAAAGCCGAGCTTCAGATTGGTGTCCAAAGTGCCCCCAACCTCTCAATGCCACCGGCTTAAGCCTAGATACCTGTTCTAAGCAAAAGGTCACTGGTGTTTATTCGAGGTCACTCACCTTCTTTAACGCCGAAAAGACCAAGGTGACCAAATTCATACGGGATATTTTGATTTTTTTATTTGAACATGCGTCAAAGTTTACGTTAAGCAACATGTTCCCAAAAACAAAATGTTGACGTGGGTCATTTCAGGTTAGCAACCTACTCTGGCATCGAAGAAGTCCACCAAAGACGTTTATTGCGGTCCCTGTTTTTAACAAATTCGCAATAAGCACCTGAAATTGCCTCATACAACAGAATACAACAAATGTCGAGTAAAGAAGCAGGTTGGCTTCTAATTCGGTCTGACCTTCAAACCTGTCCGTCATGTCTAGAAATTGTCTTCGCTGGCAACCACGGCCCGACTTTCACCCGCCATAGGTCAATGTCATTACCAGGTACATATAATCCTTATTTCAAAATATTCACCATTCAATTGCCTACAGGTGTGCAAAGCTTGGCGGGCTACGACACGCTTTTCGGAATTATTCTTTCATTGTTATGAATAATTATTCTGTAAAAACCTTCGGTTTTACCGAATGGGAGCATGGGGTAAGGAAAATATGGCGGTTAAAAATAGATTTGGGGTGAAAAAATGGGGATAGGGTAAAAACCGAAGGCATTTACTCCATCCCTCATGGGGGCGGGGGTAAAAACCGAAGGTTTTGGCCCCCATTCTACCGGACGCGTGCTAAAACAGGAATTACGGTAGCCTCTCGCCGCCCTGCAGGAAAGCCACCACCTGTCCGCAGGAAGTTAAAAGTCGCCCGGAGCATCCCCAGTGCGTAAGGTGGCAGTTGATGTAGCACGCCACTCTACATTTAGCCAGCTCCTCTGAAACACTACGTAGTGCGCTAGCGGCTCACCAACTCCGCCTTTGAAAACAAGTCTTTGCATGGCAGTTTGTCAAAAGTGGAGAAGCCCACTATGCATGCTTGGCAGCGGGCGCTGCAACGAACAAACAATGGCCCCATGTTCCAGTCCTGACCACGCTCCCATATCGCACGAGCGATTTTTTTGCGACATCCATCGGTGGGGGCAAGATCAGACCGCCAACTCGCAGCGCAAGACGAGGCATTGAACAAAATTGCTCCGAAATACGCTTGACGCGGGTACAAACTTTAAATATTGGTGTGAAATGGTTCAATGCGCTCACCTATTTTCAGCACGACTGACTTTCAACTATCTTCACGGTACATCTAGCGAACGCCCATGCCTTCTTAAGAGCTATCAGGTTATATTTGGTGCCCCTGCGATCGAAAGTTCGAAAAGCCCGCATCCGTTCACAGTAGCGAGCCTCCGGTGTTTGTGAGACCGCAAGCTACCGCTAATGTCTGTAGGGAAGGGGGAGGAGCACTAAGTGGTGGAATATTTCAGTAAACGGGAGCGTTAGCCCTGATTTCCCCGCCAGAGCTAATGTCAAATGTAAGACTCATGGAGCAGGGGCGAATGCAGGCTGAGGAAAGCTAACAGGACCCACAACGAGTGGACACGTTGCGTACCCGGTATCCATGGTAACCAGCAGACCCAGGCCGCATCAGGCCGCGTCGCGTCGCATCCTGTCGCGCTGCGTCGAGCCGAGCCGCATAAAAACACCTATAGTGTGACTAAAGAGCGCACTAAAGAGCGACTGGGATGTGCCGATGGTTAAATTATAGACGTGCATCTACAGCCCGGAGTGTAGACTGAGTCGCGACATGCTGCGCGGACATGTTGAGCTGGACAGCCGGCACGACTCAGCCGTACGACACGCTTTCAGCCAATGAGTTCGGCGCCAGCTCCGTTTCCTGTAGACTTCCTGCCCTCGTTACTATCGTTTCCTCCTACACGGCGGGGTTCACAAAGTGGCATGGAGCTTAGCATGCGCAAATTAGCACATGCCTAGCACAAATTAGCACGGAGCATGTTAATGTGTGTAACTGGTTATTGATGAAGGTTCACATAAAGCTATACAGCCCTGTGACAACCAACCCACAACCCACTGCTGTCTAAGTTGCATAGCGGGGCTTAACAACGGCAGGCGCTGGGGCCTGCAGAGCTTGGAGTTATATCCAGTCGTGGCATCCCAACGCTGTTTCAGCTCAACCCCGGACTGCCGGCCACTGACTCACCCGCTCTTGCATGTCCTTGGCGTCACTCCTGGCCTTGCTGAGCTTGTGGTCCAGCTGCTTAATCTCAAGCTCGCGGTCGCGGTTATCGCTGATGACTTTCTCCTTCTTCGTGGCCAGCTGCTGGATTTCCTTGTTTTGGGCGTTCATCACGTCCTTTTGCGCCTTGACGGCCGCCTGAGCCTGGGCAAGCGCCGCCTACCGGGAGAGTCCCGTCTGTTACGCCACCTGCCCGGAGAGGCTCGCCTGTCACGCCACCTGCCCGGAGAGGCTCGCCTGCCACGCCACCTGCCCGGAGAGGCTCGCCTGCCACGGCACCTGCCCGGAGAGGCTCGCCTGCCACGCCACCTGCCCGGAGAGGCTCGCCTGTCACGCCACCTGCCCGGAGACTCGCCTGCCACGCCACCTGCCCGGAGAGACTCGCCTAGACAGTGTTCTTAAAAACCAAATGCTACTGATCTGCACTAATCTTGAAGAAGTTCATCAAAGATAACTCTTGCAGCCCCTGCTATAAATAGATTCAAAATGAGTACCAAAACCACCTCATACAGCAAGACCTTATTCAAAATGGGCACCAAAACTACCTCATACAGCAAGACCTTGAGTGCAAAAACACGCCGGTTCTGACCTTGGTCTGACCTTCAAGCCTGACCCTAGGTCAATGGAAATTGTTGTAATAGCATGGACGATTCCCTAGAATTTGCCCTCGCTGGCAGCCACGCCCTGGCTGGGACCCGTCATAGGTCAGCGACCTTACAAGATGCATCGGCTACGCCGCGCTGTACGAACATAAGTTTGTAAAAACCTTCTCGGGTGGAAGGGTCAAATCCCCCCCCCCCCCCCCCCCCGCCACCCGGACACGTGCTAAGCGACCATGGTCTTGCTTATGCGGAAATGGAATTGCACGTTGATGACCACGGACCAAGTAGTTCTTGTTTCAATTATACGCCATTTGATAACAAGGAATGCATGAATATTATGGGATCCTTATATATATATATATATATATATATATATATATATCTAATCTATATCTATATCTATATCTATATCTATCTATATCTATCTATCTATATATATATATATATATATATATATATATATATATATATATATATATATATATATAAGCTCGCGACGAGTTTCACAGCCAACAGCGGTTGCATCGTCACGCAAAAACATACACGTGCAGCGTGCACAATGATGGTTGTGGTTAATGGTCACCCTGTACACCCTCCAATCGTACGTTCATGTAATGAATATGTTCGTAATTTTCAGGAACCGTCTAGCGCTAAAAATATGACTAATAAACAGCTGATCGGTCTTGTGATACACCAGATCAAGCGTGAACTGAGATGTGACGCGCGTGATCACGGCATCACATCCTGCTGGACAGACACGTAGGCAGGGTGCGAGTGCCATGAGCCCGTGCGGCCTGAGGGGGCCGGCTGTAAGGCCTGAGGCGGCCGACCGCGCGGCCTGAGGAGCCCGGGGCGCTGACCTGTGCAGCCTGCTGCTGTGTCTGAGCCTCGGTCAGTCGCTCGGCGTACTGCGACAGCGCCATCTCCGCCGCCGCGATCTGCTCCTCAGTCGACTGCACCGAGGTGCCCAGGTCGGCGATCTCCAGGCGCATCTGCTCCTCCTCCTGCCGGGCGGACGGGGGTCGTCACACGCAGCCGGCCGACGCGGCGCGAGCTCGGCCCGGCCGTGAGACGCACATTCCACCGCGCAGTCGGCCGCCGCCTACAGCCACCGTCATCACGCCCGCCGCGGCGTTCCAGCAGCAAGCACGCTCACTGGAATATCCGACAGGTGTACAAAACAGACCACACAATTGAGTGAACGCCAGTTCTACTCTTGAGAGAGTAAGACCCGGCCGGGTACCTGCTGCCGATCCTGCCAGGCCTTGCGCGTCTCCTCGGCCCGTGTCTTGCAAGCCTTGACCTCGGCCTCGGCGCTGTTCAGCTCGCGCTCTCGCACAGCCTGCTGATCTCGGATCTGTTCCTCCAGGTGGGCGACGCGCGCTCGCTGCCCCTCCTCGGTCGCCGCACAGCGCGACTGCGTTTCCTCCAGCTCCACTGACGGAGGGGAGAGACGAGAGGGAAGCGTCACACACTGGCCGGCAGCTGGCGCGTGACGGCGAGACGCGACTGCTCACACTACACACACCGATACCCTGACAGTGGGGTGCAATGAAGAGCATTTACTCCTACCATCACAGATCTGCCGGAGGAACAGGGGCTTTAGAGCACATAGCCCTGTACATGGTCGGGAGGCAGCCGCCGGCAGCCTTTTCCTCCGCACCGGTCGGCCTCCCGGCGTCCCTCCGACAGCCAGTGGGGACGGCACGGTGCCCAGTTTAGCGCCCCGGCCGTCGACGGTGCACGCGCCGGACGGCCACCACCGGCGACTGCGCGCCGTCCCTACCGACCACCAGGCTACTCCAAACCGACTCGTAAGCGACCAGAGAGCGCGAACGACGTAATGCTGAAGACGTTTGCGTTTCCGCGTACCATACGCTCGACCGCAGGCTGATCACGGTGTGGGGTAATATAAAGCCGCCGCATCCCAGAGTTGACAAGCCACCGCACACAGGTCAGGTTCGGAGCTAATGTCAGGACAGAATCGCGTCATTCCACCCATGCGTACGTCAGCATCCCACAGTGAAATAAAATGGCAGCTTTGAACGAGCTTGTCACCGAGAGCTCGAGCCGCAATACGCTGAATGACAGATTTACGGAAACCAATCTGCGTACGCGGGTGAGCGTGGTATCGCGGCGACTCCTCGGACAGCGAGAGCCGCGCCTCCCAACCGGCCAAATGCGGCCTTTCATGAGTGTGGGTCCGCTGCAGCTTCCCGTGTATGGACGCACAACATGGATGATAACATTTTGGTTTTCTCTGGTTGATAATTGATATCTGCGTGTGCTTCGAAAATTCGGACATACAGCGCCCATTTCTGTTCAATTCCGGTGACTGCTGAAAGCTGGTGCGACGGACAGCTGGGACAGCACGACTGCTGCATTTGAAAAATTGTCTGCCTCCGATGTTTTTCCTCCCGTGTGCACGCATGGCTGCGTTTAAATAGTTTATATGTCTCTTACCTGCCCTTATCCGTGTCACAAGCATGCACCTGGCTCCTGGTACGATATATCACTGTGTGTGTATGCGAGCCCTCATAAACCAATGGTCATGTCCCAGTTGCGCGATGAAATTGCGTGGTCACAATAGCCTCAGCTCTCTGCTGCAACAAGCATTAGGCGAGCAAATGAAGTGTATCTACCCCAGCAGGAGAACCCGCTGCCCGGGACAAACCGCGCCGAGCGGAGACAGGGAGCGTGATCGCCGAGCAGCACTGACCGATCAGCTGTTCCAGCCGCTGCACCTCCTGCTGCAGCTGGCAGTGGGTGGTCTGCTGCAGCCGCTCTCGCACCAGCTGCAGCTCGTGCCGCTTCAGCTCCAGCTGCTGCTTCAGCTGCGCGTACCTGCAGGCGTGGCTCGGACTCAGGTGCGCGTCTGCGGAGCCAGCCACGCTATAACAGACAGCCGCGGTCACAAACACGCCGACGGATGCCCGGGACGGTGCCGTGAATGGGATCGGAATACGGGTTGTCGGGGTAGACCGCCGCGCTCTGGTGAGCAGGTCCCGCCTAATCTGGATAGCACTGGGCCCTGGCCTGGGATGGCCTCAGCCAGCTAGCATTCTTCTCGGTATTTGGTACAGAGTAGTACTTGGCTCTGCCCCATCGTACCTAACAGGGCTCACGAAACACCGCAAAATTCGTCACGCTTAGACTCGGCTATCGAGCATGAGAATTTCGTATTGCAAGTCAAACCCTCTCCTGTCGAGTTTAAAGAACATCCTTCCCCATCTAATGGCAATCAGAACCTTGCATGCCCTGTCTTCCAACACATAAAGGGGGACGCGACGCGACGCATGACGCCGCCGCCACTCCCAAAAGCCATGCTCCAGCCGAGGTTCGAGCACAAGAGACGAGGTGGTCACATCACCCACTGAGTCCAAACAGGCTCACATCCCGTACTAACAGTGCCCCCCGCCCACCGAGCTTCGTGGGATTCACGCCACATTTCAGTCATCGCGAGGTAACGGCCAACGTTTGAGCAGTTCAACATCCACTGACCCTCCTGTCGAGGAGGCAACGCCGTTATAATCTCAGCAGCGTCGAACACGTCAGACTGCTTACATTGGCTGGTAAGGACTACTGGCCGAAAGAAAAACACGGCGAAAAGAGAAACAACGAGTCTAGTTACATCGTAACTAAATTAATAGAATCACTTTCAGGAAAAAAATCGGGCGCGAGAGGGGTCGGCCGATATAATGCATACCACAAAGAACCGTATAAAAGAGTGTGGAGCGCTGAACTCTGTCGCGCAGACTCAAGCGGACTCAATCAACAATCACGCGGACTCAAACAGACTCAACCCACAATGCACCAGAACCTCGCCCACCAACATTCAATACGTACTCACAGGCACATAGCAACAGCCAAAACCTCGCCCATGGAAGTCATATCATAAGGCACAAACTTGCGGATCCAGGTTTTTGAAATCGGTGTTGCCGCTCCGTTCATACGCTTAAGGCACCTGCATGGCCCGTTACGGTGGCTAGCCCGGACCAGACCGCTGCCCTCAGATGAACAAAACAAGTAGATCAGCGCTGGGACAGCACCGGTCACACTCGCAGACGTCTGACCGCTGGGGCAGCACCGGTCACACTCACACGCGTCTGACCTCTGGGACAGCACCGGTCACACTCACATGCGTCTGACCGCTGGGGCAGCACCGGTCACACTCGCACGGTCTGACCGCTGGGGCGCACCGGTCACACTCGCACGCGTCTGACCGCTGGGGTAGCATCGGTCACACTCGCACGCGTCTGACCGCTGGGGGGTAGCATCGGTCACACTCGCACGCGTCTGACCGCTGGGTAGCATCGGTCACACTCGCACGCGTCTGACCGCTGGGGTAGCATCGGTCACACTCGCACGCGTCTGACCGCTGGGTAGCATCGGTCACACTCGCACGCGTCTGACCGCTGGGGTAGCATCGGTCACACTCGCACGCGTCTGGACACGCTGGGGTAGCATCGGTCACACTCGCACGCGTCTGACCGCTGGGGCAGCACCGGTCACACTCGCACGCGTCTGACCGCTGGGGTAGCACCGGTCACACTCAGCGCGTCTGACCGCTGGGGCAGCACCGGTCACACTCACACGCGTCTGACCTCTGGGACAGCACCGGTCACACTCACATGCGTCTGACCGCTGGGGCAGCACCGGTCACACTCGCACGCGTCTGACCGCTGGGGCAGCACCGGTCACACTCGCACGCGTCTGACCGCTGGGACAGCACCGGTCACACTCACATGCGTCTGACCGCTGGGGCAGCACCGGTCACACTCACGCGCGTCTGACCGCTGGGGCAGCACCGGTCACATTCACACGCGTCTGACCGCTGGGACAGCACCGGTCACACTCACACGCGTCTGACCGCTGGGGTAGCACCGGTCACACTCACGCGCGTCTGACCGCTGGGACAGCACCAGTCACACTCACACGCGTCTGACCGCTGGGGTAGCACCGGTCACACTCACATGCGTCTGACCGCTGGGGTAGCACCGGTCACACTCAGGCGCGTCTGACCGCTGGGGCAGCACCGGTCACACTCACACGCGTCTGACCTCTGGGACAGCACCGGTCACACTCACATGCGTCTGACCGCTGGGGCAGCACCGGTCACACTCGCACGCGTCTGACCGCTGGCAGGGCAGGCGACTAAGTACTGCCCACCTGGTTAGTCCCACCAACAATACCTTGGTCATCACACTCCAGGCCCTCCCCGCCACCGGGCGATCGGTGCCGCGCGCCCTGCTGTTCCACAGAGGTATCTACTATTCAGGGCGCGTGCAGCCGCAGCTCACCATGTGTCGTGATTCTGCTCTCCAGCTACACTTACTGTGGCTGGGCGGACACCAGAACCCAGGCAGGGCACGGTACAACCCAGGTAATACACCTCACCACAGCAAGCAATTCATTTTCATAGCAAACACACATTGAGCATTTTATTGCAGATTGTTGCAAAAGCCAATTTGCCTATCACTGGGCACCTCTCTGCGAGTGTAGTTTTCACACAAAGTTCGTCTGACCGCCACCGCGGACGCAGTACTTCCAGGTAGCACCTGAACACCTCAGACCAGCACGCGTCGCCCGGCCGGCCTCCGCCCGTCGGCTTCTCACCTGTCGCCGTTCTCCGTCAGCGACGACAGCTCCGCCTCGACCTCGGCCAGCCGCTGCTCCAGCTGGCGCAGCCGCTGCTGGCAGCCGGACAGCGCGTGCAGCTCGGCTAGCACCGAGGAGCGCGCCTGGCGCGAGCCGCCCGTCAGGGTGCCGGCCGGGTCCACCACGTCACCGTCCAGCGTCACAGCGCGGCGCTGCACGCGCGGGTCGAACGCCACCTGTCGGCGCCGGGACCACGTCAGAGGTCACGGGTCACGGATCACGTCAGAGGTCACGGGCCAGGTCAGAGGCCAGAGGTCACGCCAGACATCATGACGACAGGCTCGCGGTGGGCATTAACAGTGCAAACAACGGTGCCCTGTTGATGCCTAACGAACGGAACAGGGCGGGGAAAGCGGTCCATAGCACCGATACGGGTTGCCAATGTGCGCGTTCCAGTGAACGTAGTGGCCGTGAGGCAGGTGGCGGCCTTGCCGATGGGGCGGCGTGTGGCCGCGTCTCACCCTCTTGGCCACGTCCAAGTCGCTGCAGATGAGCGTGTTGCCGAACACCCACTCCATGGCCTTCTGCAGGCGCGGCTCGTGCTGGATGCAGGAGAGCGCCGTCCGCACGTTCTCCTTGCCCACCTACCGGCGCGCCGGGCGGCCCGGTCAGAGGTTAGGCCCGACCTGACTCTCCTGCCGCTCGGTATAACATCACACACCACCTCGCGTCGGAGGACAGCTGAGTGAACCGCCGGCACCGCGGCACTACCGTAACGCGCCGGCCCCTGGGCAGGCGGGACCAGCTCGAAGAGCCGGTGCCGGGCGCGCCGAGCGGGGCCGGCCGGGTTGCAGCCGCTGTCGTGCGACGACGGCCCGCCGGGCCCGCTGGGGGCGCCAGTGGCCGCGGTCCCGCCCGACACCGGCGCCGCAGCCGCGGGGGGCTCGACGGGACGGAGGCCTCGGAAGGGACGGAGGCCTCGGAAGGCCTCGGAAGGGAAGGGACGGAGGCCTCGGAAGGCAGACCGGACCACCGCATGCGGACCACGCCGACAGAGCTCTTGAGGATACCACGGTGGCAATGTGTCAAACAATCTGACACCGGCAGATGCGCCCAATCAGCAGGCGTCTATCACCGTTCGCCACAGTCGACCCTGGCCTCCATACTCTCAAGTACTGAACCATCAGACACTGCACATGTCGCCATGATACTGAGCCACGGGCTGCCTCCCAGCAGCCATACTGCCAGCGCGCGTGGCCACCAGCCACTGACCACTTTCTCAGCGTGTCGGATAGTCTGCATGTCGATGCTGGAGCTGGAGATCTTGTTGAGCGGGATAAACGTGACGCGCTTCTGCAGCTGTCCCCTTTCCAGCAGCTTTTTGCCCACCACCTCCGTGTCCACCACCACGTTGTACAACTGAGGCAATGACGACACCAACATCAGGTGACTTGCGATGTCGCGCCGACATGCACGTGATGTGAGACAACCACATACTCCTGGCATTTTACACTCTAGCGAATCGTACAAAGTGTAGTGTTATCATTAATTGACAGCGTCGACTGTGACACACTGTGCACTAAACCAGACCAATGGACATTCGGTAGCCCGTTTCCAGTCCACTAAAGCACTTAACGTCATCACGCTTACACTTCGCGTAGCTCTGTGCGCAAGACGACATTCGACTCGTTGATAGCGATCTCGCATCCTGACTGCACCCACCAATACTGCGTGTCAACAGCAGCAGCGGCTCCGGCGAGCTGACTTACCCGGCCGCCGGCGGTCACCTCCAGGGCGGTGGCCGTGGCGACGTCCTTCATGTTGAAAAGCTTTCCCACCACGCCGCGAACGGTGCTGCGGTCGAAGCCCTTCTCCGGGTCCCGGTAGTCGAGCACCAGCTGGGGGTACCTGCAGCCGCCGGCCGGCGTCGGCGTCAGAGCCCGTGCCGCTGCGGAGGGCGCCGGGCGGCGGCGTGGCGGCACCCGGGTGGGCCGCACGCTCCGCACATGTAGACGCGACAGAACGAACGGTCCACGTGCGTGACTCCAAGGTCAGAGAAGTGACGCAAAACAAGACCCGAGACGAACTTTGTGCGGTCTAGTATAGGTCTGCAGGTCTGGAGGGGTCTAACTACACGGCCTGGACAGCAGTGTCCTGCGGTCGCCCGGTCGTCTCCTAACGGCTGAGGACGACAGGCTGGGGGCCCGTTACCGTGACTCCAGCACGTCCAGCTTCTCCTTCAGCCGGCTGAGCTCCTGCTTCAGCTCGCGACGCTCCGTCTCCAGCACGTCCACCCTGGTCTCGTCGTACCGCAGCTGGCCCATTGACTTCTAAAAACAGGCCCCGTCGTCTGCTCAGTATCGAACGACCAACCGCGAGGGAAAGACGAGCAAATGCAAACGAAGTTCAGTTGTCGTTTGCGCAGACTTCGCAGAGTAGCTAGCAGCGATGGTAACTGTCCGCCTGCTAGTGATTACCACGTGTAACTGCGTTCTCACAAGACTACGTGTACGTGAGTAGCCTCTCAGGCTCTTGTGACGGCGCAACATCTATTTGTTCCATTTCAGCTCAAAACTATGCGTGTGCACCGGATGGCTTTACACCCAGCACAAACCGTCACCGTGTAATGCGCCAACAAGCCAGCCGTTGTACTCGGACAAGCAATGGATCAAATGCCAGCGAACAATCGACATTTTGCAAGCACACCACTATTGAAAAGACACCAGGCACATACAGGCACCCTCGCCACCTATAAAAGCTACCCCGACCTTACGAGCCGAGACGGCTCGTTTCAAAACGCCTGTGGCCCCCACGAATCACAAGGAAGCTCTACCAGCACCAATCTGGTGGCCACTGTCGCCAGCCTACTCATGTCTCCCGTGCTCTGGTGTGCAGCCGGGTGTGCTGCAGAGCCGCCTGGCTGACCTCGAGGCGGGCCGCGTCGGCCCTCCATCGTCTGCAGCTGGCTCGAGTCGCGTCGGTACTCGCTCTCCGTCTTCTTCATCTCGGAGCGCCGCTTGGCCAGCTCCTGCTTGGTGTGCTTCAGCTTCATGTCCGCCTGCTTGCGCTCCGTCTCCGAGTCCGCGATGGCCGACTTGGCATCTGCCGTCGGCCCGAACAGCAGGCGTTAGTGTGACACCGGGCTATGCTCGATGGCCTGCAGTATCTCTGAGCAAGGCTTCTCCGCAGACCTGTGGCCATGCCCTAGTCCGGGTAATGCGCCTAAATCGCTGAGTGCACCCGCACAGAAGCCAGGTGACGTCAGAAGGCAGGACGGACCGCGCCAAGCGTGTGACCACGGTGAACTTGTTCGACAAATCTGTGAGGTTGAGCTGGAGTTGCACGACCGGATGGCAGGGGTCGAGGCTCGCCAAAAACCATTGATGGGCGTCAGCTCTGACCCCAGACATGAATTTATTCCAAGGGCTGGGATACCTTTAAGTGAAAAATGAAAAATATGAGCAAGCATTACGCAAACAAGCCCTTACCACCTCAAGCGCTAATAAGATCGACGATGCGGCATCGCATTTTGCGAGCTTATGTGTTTGGCGCGGAGCGGCGCCGCACTCACTTCATGAGCTGCTGAGCGAAGCGTTGGCGTCCTGGGCCGTCGTCGCCGCATATGAACATCCCCCCGAGCTAATGCATGGAAGCGTTTCTGGGCGGCGGCGAGCGCGGCCGCCTGCTCGGCCTCGTTCGTCACTCAACGCAGCGCGTCGAACACATCGCGCAGTCGGCTCATCTCCTGCTGCCTCTGCACTCCAGCAGCCGCGCGGTCCTGTCGGCCCGTCACCCGGCTCACACCCGGCTCAGACACCGCCCCTGTCGGCCCGTCACACGGCTCACACCCGGACCCGCCCTGTCGGCCCGTCACACGGCCCACACTTGGCTCAGACACCGCCCTGTCGGCCCGTCCAACACGGACCAACCACACGGGGCTCAGACCACCTGCCCTTGCCGGCCCGTCACACGGCCCCAAACGGGCTCAGAGGACCGCCCTTGTCGGTCCCGTCACACAGCTTCACACCCGGACTCAGACACCGCCCTTGTCGGCCCGCCTCACACGGCCCCACACGGGCTCATGACCCCGCCCTGCCGGCCCCGTCACACGGCCAACACGGGGCTCAGACACCGCCCTGCCGGCCCGTCACACGGTCCACACGGGGCTCAGACACCGCCCCCTGTCGGCCCTTCAGCATTGCATTGACCAGCATTGTATATGCGTCAACCAAGTCAGTCCGGTGTAAGGAGCAGAGAAAAGAGCTCATCACGATGTAGGTCGTGGCGACTTACATCCGCCAAACTTTTCTGCAGTTGTTTCTTCTTCTTCTCCTCGGCTTTCACTGAATCCTTGACACCCTTCACGGCCCGCAATTAAGCTTTCGCCTCGACTTTGGTATCCTCCTCTAGCTTCTCCTCCAATGAGACGAGAGTACCACCAGTTTCCTGGACAAGGGAAAACATCAGAAGTTCGCATCATTCCCGTCAGCACACAGGTGGGCCCAAACATTTCAAGTCCGCATCATTCTGTTAACTACGAATTACCGGAGTGATGAAGCATTCCGCACATTAATCCAGCAGTTCTTGCTCTACTGTACGGCAGGCTCCCCGTCTTTGAACATTTTGTTGAGGAATCACGCTCCATGGGTCTTACCTGGTGTATTACGAATTCATTGGAATACTGCCTCAGATTTTGAATGCATCCCGAGAATTAACTTTCATTGCCAATAGTTTACCATTTTTGACATATTTTGGTGTGCATTGACGACTGAGGCCCAACCAGAGCAGGACATCATAATAAACACTGTTTTCGGAAATGGTGACTTCTTACGATTCTTTATTTGCGTTAAGCCCCAACGACGGCGGAAGTACTATTTTATCGACATCTCATATCTTTGAGTTGTCTATTGCATTGATAAGTCCTAACTGTACGGGTTTCCAAAGGTGGCGGGTTCCAATCGCTAACGTTTCGTTATGATTTGCACGGTACCAGCAATCTACTCTCTCGCTCCACGTCAGAGGACATGTCTTACTGCTCTAAAAATCACGCGTTCACTGTCGGCGAGTTCTAATCCGGTCCCTGACAGTCGGGAAGCGCGGACTGACCGTTGTCTCGCTGGTGCTGTTAGCTTGCCGATGTCCTCCTCGTATCGCCCGATGTCATGCTGGCCCTGCTCGATCTGGCCCCCGCACCCTGATCGATGGAGTGCTTGCACATCCTGCTCGTCCGATACGGCCTTCTTGCACGACTCCTAGGAGAGGGGGCACAACGGCTTTTCCGACTGCGCCAACCACCGACCAGCCGTTTTCGACTGGACGCATGTCCGTGTGGTGGTCAGGACCTTGGGATCGTCAGGAGTGCTTGACACAATTATTTGTGACTGACAACTGATCACGTGCGTGACGACAATGAAGGAAACGGCCCAGAACCCCTAATTCATCTCCCTGACAGCCTGCGGAAGGTCGATGCATAGGTAAATACACACAGTGAATAACCGTCAGCACCTGTCAGTATCTGCCAGCTGCGACATCATTATTAGTGACGGACGACATCCGCCATACCGAGCATACAACCCAAAGATGGTGACGACCGCATCCCAGAAGACATGTCCCATCCCACAACCGCACATTTCGAAAAACATGCGTTTAATCCAATTCGTTTGCGGTCATGACGTTTTCTACATAGTCAGTCGCCGGTTACACGAGATGCCTGGCTGCTTACCTGCGTGGTGACAAACTTGAATGCAATGCAAAATTTGCTCAGATGTTCGTATTCTCGCTCCACCTTTTGATATTCCAAATACGTGGAACGCTCTTCTTTCAACTTATTCATTGTTGGGTTGATTTCTTCGTCCAAGATCTGTAACAATTTGCTGTAATAATGTTCGGAAGGGAACACTGCGATAATTTTCGGAACAGAATGCCATTATTTCGCTCCTCGCCTCCCGCACGGCCAGGTATAACCGAGGAGACCTCTCCCCGTCCTGACCGTGGTTCAGCGCCGCCGCCCCTTGACCCTTTAAGCCGCTGCGCACGGCCAGGCGGCCCAAGCGGAAACTCGCGCAGAGCACGCAGCCAGCGCGAGCGACAAACCGCTAGACCCGTGGGGTCTCCCGTCCCTTCCCCCCCCCCCCTTCAGGGCCCCCGCATATCCTGGCCAAAGCGAAGTCTCGGGACGCGCCGTGACTGACCCGCACGACGCGTCTCTCGGCCACCAGGATCCGATCAACCCGGGAACGCGGGCGAGGGGCACGGTGACCCCGATAAAACGGGGATTGGGAGTGATGAGTGGGCCGAATGCGGGAAAGCGGGTATGAGAAGGAAGCGGGCGGGACAAGGAGCGGGAGCTCACGCACCGGCAGCGTCGCTACGCCCTGAGAGGAGCAGCTTGCTCTGTCCACCCATTACCGGAGCTGGGACCCGAGAGACCACGTGACTTCGCGATCAGCTCGCTGAATGACCGCGTCTGGTATATAGCGCTCCCCGCATACCGAAACAAAGTCAACATGCACAATGAAGCATGGCGAAATGACGGAAATGACTGAAGTGTGAGCTTCAATCAGGACCGCAGTATTCAAATGAATGGTAGCATGGCACGAACGTCATTGATTTCTTTGAGCTTGGCATTCTTCTCTATAGTCTTCTGGGCCACCTGCTTCTTGGATTCATACAGCCTTGTTCCCGCTGCTTCTTCTATCATTGACAAAATCTGGAGCGAAACAAATCACAGTTGTTAACATGTTTCTTACGATCAACATCGTAAATAACACTCAGCTATTTAATGACATCTTTGTGAAGTAAGGGCAAGGCATACGCAAAAATACAAAGTAGTATTTGCCCAAAGAGCAGGAAGCAAAACATAAAAATTACATCCTTCTTGAGCACGTGAAATAAAATACAGCCGATGCATCGATAAATCAGCGGAAGTAGGCTAATAAATGCAAATATTATAAGTTTTATAAATGTTTCCATACGGCGATACAAACTGAGCAAAACACCACATCATGCGCTCGTAATAACCCATGCATCACAAGTTCAGGGTACCTGATTTCGAAAAACGCTCATAAGTGGAAGGGCGGACCACATGGGGTCCATGGCTCACAGAGAAAACCGCCGATTATTTGGTCCAAACTCTTAACTGGTTCCCCACGCATGTCATGCTTTCGGGACCAGTCACAAAAACAAACGCTGTCTTGAACACCCACGTGACCGCTTAGATGGCCAATGGTGTGTGCCGGGGACCACAGCCCGCTCACCTCTGGCGGCTTCATGTTGAGGACCTTGGTAATGCGGCCCTGCATGATGAGGAAGTGAGGATTGTTGACGTTCAGCTTGACCGAGCGGAACAGGTCCTGCACCCGGTTGTTCTGCACGTTCACGCCGTTGATGGCGTACTTGTTCCTGCCACCGACCACCACCTGTTCCGCCATGGCCAGGGAGGGCGTAATAGTAGGGAGCAGATGCCAAACACGACAAACCAGCCATTCCTTGTCTGGCAGCAGGCAGCGACCGAGGGTACGCTGCATTCGATTCACAACAGAAGGGAGCAATCCTCGCCACCGGACAGTCATCCACGTCGAGAACCTCCCAGACATAGGAAGACAAATGACCATGTGCATAATCGGGGTGCAGAACTGTACCGGAACCGCAGTGCATAACACAGCATAAGCGGAGTGCACAGCTGTTGTATGGTGTACCACAAAAAGATCGTTCGGGGAGATAATTTGTGTTGCGCCTATAAGACGAAACAAGATAGCATCCACTAAAGCCCTCAAGAGTGGTTGGCATCTTCGCTGCTCGCGGCCCACGGGTTACCGAGCTTACTGGCTGATCCCACTGGCACTGCCAACACGTGCCCGAAATACCATATTACTTCTCATTCCCGCCTGAGCCCTCTGATATCTGTGGTCGGGGCTGGCGTGCGGCTGGGGGCGCAGGGGACCCCGTCCGTCCCGGTGCACAACCTGTCGAGTGATGGTGATCTCGTCGTACTGCTCGTAGCCGAGAGGGCTCTCGGCCTTGTCGCTGTTGTCGAACGTGATGG